ACTAACAAAACCAGTCAAAGTTCTAGTCCCAGTGCAGTTTTAAAATAAAAAGAGAAGATTATTTCTTGTGGTGGTTCATAATCAATTATTAATCATAGGACCATTGAAAAGATAGTTATTCGTTGAACCAGGCTTTCTAGTTTGTATTGAAATTATTGGACTGTGATACTTGGTAGCAATGTTTGTATTTTCTATATTAAAATAATGGAAGAAATCCACCCCTAATTCTGTCTTCAACTATATATATATATTTCTGCTATTAATTTCAGTGCAAAAGAAACTATTTCTCATAGTTTGTGAAGGAAAAAAAAATCCTGAAACACTCTTATATACATGCTCCACTGAAATCCAGTGAGTTACTTAAAAAACCAACACAAATGCCACCACCAAAAAAACCCAACCCCCAACCACAAAACCAAAATTTTGATAGACTGGCATGAGCTATGCCAAATCAGATGAACAACTCATGCCTCAGGCATATGCAAAGTGGAAAAACAGGGCTATTGTTTGTTTGGTAGAGTGCATCAATATGTCAGTTTATAGAAGTACTGTAAGTAAGTACAACTGTCTCTTCTGTTGTTTGAGTCACCCTTTCTACTCCTAACATCCCAGAATGAATGTCCTGCCAGAAATATTGTTCCCTCTGGCAGTAAAAAGGCCTTTCGCTGATCAAGGATTTGCCTCTTGGATGGTGTTTGGGGGACAGGCTGTCTTCCACCCTCTGCTTTGTATCAAGCTTTACCAATATTATATCATCCTAGCCTATAATAAATGAGATATACAATAAGAAGAAACACTTGCATAAGTCCCAGCATTTATTGAAAAGCTGTATTTCCAGACAGGGGTAGCTAAGAAATGAAAAATGTGAAACCAAATCAACCTTTATTAATGTTTTCTATGCATATGAACAAACTTTTAAAAGCAGATGGCGTGGGCAAAGAGAACATTCAAATTGGTATCTGCACAGAGAACCTAAATGGGCGTGCTGGTCAGGAAGCAAGGAGCTGCTGAGCTAGCACAAGCAGCGGGCAGCCTGAGCCACTTCTTTGCCTACAGTGTGTTCAGAGGGAAACGAAAAAAGGAGGAGCTTATCTGATAGTTGTGTGCCCTTTTCTGTGATATTTTTATTATATTTTTTGTTATTTAAGCACAAATCCAGAACAAATAGTTAATGCATGCATAAAACTCGGCAATAATAAGTTGCTCTAGAAAGGTATCAGCACTAAAATGTAGGTTTATCACTTTAAAATAAGAATACAAGGGAGAAAGGTGGTTTGGGGGGGTGTGTGTGTGTGTGTGTGTGTGTGTGTGTTTAATTAAACAGGATATGTGTATGAATCAGGAAGGCAAAGTCCAGCTCATCAATGGATTGAATGGACATTCAATCCAAATACCAGATTTCTTCTTTAATTCACAGAGGAATGAGGGTTCTTCCAGTCTTTTTGTGCTTTGTGGCCTGCTGTGTGCTAGGCTGTTGGCCGGAGTTCAGCCCTCTTGAGTGGTGGTCCCTCTTGATCACAGCTCTGCTGGAGGACAGACAGGTTCCAGATATAAGACACAATGCTTTCTGGGAATGGATGGAAAGAGGTGAGGGAAGCTTTTGTTTGGGCTATCTGCAAGAAAGCATATAGTCCAACACAGTTACAAATGTGTACACTACTACAATCTCCTTTGTTAGACCCTATTGATGTATTATATACTTTATGCTTCATGCAAGAACTGATGAACAAGAATGAGAGAAGTCCTGGCATCACTGGAGGTGATGGGAAGCTCCCCGCTGTGTAGGGAGCACTATGGAAATAGTAGACATAGTCTACAGGTCTAATAGTAATATGGGAGAGGAAAGTAGTAGTGGAGAAATATTTCTAATGTGAATGGATGTAGAAAAGTTTACTGCCCAAAATACTTAAGACCAATACATTCATAACAGAAAAATTAATAACCAGCATTGGCTTGTGTTTTGTTTGTTTGTTTCTAATTGTGTAAATGGTACCTGCTTGGCACAATGAACTTTTGGTTCCTGAGTTTGGGTCTAAGTACTGTTGTCCTGTTTATTCAAATGTTATTAATCGTTGCCCCCGAGTTCTCAAATTTATTTTTTTTTTTCACACTTCAAAATTAAAGGATTGCAACAGTTCAGTAGAGAGATTGATAACATTTAAGAAAAATATCACAAGTTTTCAGGAACATGTGAAAGTTCAAGAGGTTGTGTCCATCATTGAACCCATGTGTATTCTTATGTAAAGATCTTATTCTTATGTACATCTTACAATGTAGAAGGCTTTATATAAGCCATAAAATAATTGTTGCTGCACAGCTATAAAATGCTCTTACATTCAAGCTTTACAGCACTCTTTTGCCTTAATGTGCATAAACCACAAACCTCTAAGCTTCTTCTAAAAGGCTACTTTCTATTAATGTTAAAATTTCTTAATGTTACATTTTGTGAAGCTACATGTGTTCTTGCTGGCTTTGGTTGTGTGTTTTGTGTGTGTGATTGTAGCATGTATTTCTTGACACAGTAGACTAACAATTAGGAGGACTGGTAAATCTGTATTAATCTGTGTAAAAATTGAATTTAATTGACTCCTTTTTAACTCTGCAAATGTAGTTGTACATCCTTTTCTGCTTGCTCCCATCTACAGATCTGGTATTGAAAAAGCACATCTGCATGGATGCCTCTAGTGGAATAAAGGAGGGTCATTTAATAGACTGCTGTAGGATTTCTTCTATCGGCTCCATGAATCACTCTTCCGTATAAGGTTAAAGCAGAGTTTGCCCCCTGAGGTTGCTGAAATTGTGGGTTATCTGGAATGGAAGTTAAACTCACGACATGTAGACTGAAGTCTTATTTCAAATTGACATAGTATTGAATTTTGATGTGTGTATTGCAAAAAACCACGACACATAAAGGTTTGAATTGAGGAAGTTTTTCCATTGAAGTCAAGCAATACAAACTATGCATAAGAAAGTAAAGGTTATTTTCGCTGAAAACACAAATCAACCCTTGTAGAATTTTAGCTGCTAATTTTACAAACTTCTCATTTACTAGAAGCAAAAAGTTTTTGTTTGAAGTCTAAAGACAACTTGGAAGTAGCAGGCTTTTTGTGGCAAGTTTGTATTGGTCATTTTTCATCTAGAACTTAAAAGGCATAAATTTGATGCCTTTCTGATGCTTAAGTATGGTAAATTTTCAAAACACTACAGTCTTTATGAATGATTCTCCAAACACATGTTTTCTTTTCAAATTCTATTACTATGACTTTCATTTTCTAGGTATTACATTGTTCTTAGTTGAGCAAAGTACAAAATTATATTTATTAGTCTTGATTTTTCAGTATATGAGGCGATACCTGTGTTGGCTGAAAAATATTCTCATTCATGTGGCATGTACACTCCTTTGTAGATGTATTATGATCTAAATTTACAATCAATGACCTAAGGTTAAACAATCAAAGTAGTGGGATTTTGTTTGTTTGTTCTCCCCTTCCTCACCTGCCCCGATGATCTCTGCTCTTACTGATTTAGGAAGAACCCTTTCTTCTTTGCTAATGAAAATCAGGATGCTCACTTAGCTCTCTTAATTCATGTGATCCAAATCTGGATATTCTTGCCTGTAAGTGGGAATGTTGTTGTTTGAGGCTATGATAGCCACCAGGAACTGCCACCTATGTGAATTAAGGGAAAGGGTATTTTAAACCAGATTTGGGCTGGTGAGGGCTTATGGGAATGATGTGGTGCAGTTGGTGTGGGGAGAATGGCATGAGTGATTGGTGCTCTGCAGGTGGGAGTTGTTGGGTTTTGTTCTGATACTACTTCCTGAAGGCTTTCATAGTAAACATTCATAAAACATCTTAAAGTTACAGTCGTTGATTAGCATTTAAATTATGTTCTAGCTGTTTTCAGCATGTTCTGATACTGTGTCAAAATCAATCTTATTTTATAGCATGAATACTCTCCAAAAGAGGTCAGCATTGTTTGAAGGAGAGTTTCTCTTCTGCTCTACCTAGGCTGCTTTCTGGGGAGAATTTTTGATTATGTTTATATACACACATCACAAGAGGAGAAGTCATATTTAGAGTCATTACAGCGGTTGTTCCTCCGCTTCCCCTCAGATCTGATTAAGACGTTTGTACTGGGGGAGCCTGCTCCCTTTGTGGCACCCTGGATCTTAGTCCCTCAGGACTGGTGAGCTTCACTCCTGCCCTCCCTTGGAAAGCCTCAGCATTCCTGGGGTCACCTCCCTGTAGCCAGAGGTTTTGTTTGGGGGATTTGTGAAGAGTATAATCAGATTGTAATTTTAGGGATTTGGGAATTAATTTATGATTGTGTCAGGGATTTGAGATTCTGCATTTTGTTTCTTTTTCCAAAACATGTATTGGAGTTTTCTTTTTGTTGCAGATATTTTCAAGGCCTTTTATCTACAAATACTTTTATTTTGATGACTGAATTACTAATGCAATGGAAGCATGCATGTGAAAGCAGTTTATATTTCTAAAGTTACTTAAGTAATGCCAGTATTTACAAATTGTGCTTGAATTTGGTATTGCATGAGAGGTTTTGTTGCTTTTGCTGCCGCTTGCAATGAGAATACTGAATTTGATGCTTTACAAGAAATACTAGTTCGCTTTCTTCTGTCTCCTTCTACCCAGTTTCTTTATCAATATATCATCTTGCATATCTTGGAAATAAGTAGTTTTAGAGTCATAATTGCAGTCATAAATTCCTTCCTGGCCATTGCTTCCAGGTAATGTTTATGTGTGGTCCTGTAGGGGACTTCTTATACGCAGTGTCTTGCATGGATATGCTTTGCTTCTACTATTTTCTATGTGACAGCTCGTTTCTTTGACTGGATATTGTTCTGTCTGGGAGAAGACAATTAAATAGGCATGTATTCAGTCGGCATGTTAAAAGAGTATTGATTCTTACTGCCATCTAGGTATTGTTTCACATGAGGAATTTAATACCTATATGTAATCAATTAATATTCTCTCTTGCAGGTTTAACAGATGAAAAAGTGAAGGCCTATCTTTCTCTTCACCCCCAGGTACTGGATGAGTTTGTGTCAGAAAGTGTAAGTGCAGAAACTGTGGAAAAGTGGTTAAAAAGGAAAAATAACAGACAGGAAGGTAAGTCCTTTTTATTTGCAATTAATATTTAGCTTTGAACAGCTCAGTTCTTATTTTTAGATTTAAAAAGGAAACCTAGTTTTGGTAAAACTTGAATGTTACAATTTTTATGTCTAAGTTCCACTATTTTTTGAAAGGCAAAAGATGTTAACAATTTTTAAAAATAATTTCAGCCTTTTGGAATTTCTATTTTGGAATACACTATAGTACTCATTTTGGAAGTTCAGTTTACGCATTTTGAGTTGCAAACACTATTCCACTAACTTGTAATATCTGTTACATTACTGTATGTTTTGAGAACATAATTTGTTGTTCTTGGATCTAAAATTGGTAAGTTTTGAATTAAAATTATGCAGTACATGCAGGATGTAAACCTCAGTAAAATACTGGATATACCATCTCAAAAGTTCCTACTTTCAACATGTATTAAGTCATTTTAGATATGAACACAAAGGTTATAAAGCAATGTGTTGAATTATGGAGGTATTTCTGTTGGGTTGCTTTAGGTATAAACCCTCACTTGCTAGACCCGGAAAGCGGTTACTTATGAGTTGGCCTGGGTTGACAATGACCATAAATTTTGTAATGATCTTAAGTTTTGTGAGATTGTGTGCAAACATAAAATTCATACAACTTTAATAATGATTTGGAATGTACCAGCTAAAATGCAAAAGAGGAGATGATCAAGGTGTAGAAAGAAACACTGATTTTACACTGTGTGTGCATTTCTCTGTGGCTGACTTCTAAGGTGCTTGGGGTTTAAGTTCTGGTGGTAATTCCCATTTTCAATACAGGGGCTATTGCTACTTCCTAGAAGATAACTGTTTTCTGCAGAATTACAGAAAAAGAAAATGGGCAAGGGACAGAAAAGGCTATATCAGACCAGACTTTTGGTGATGATGACTATGTATCTGATACTAAGGTGGCAGTACATTCTTGTTGGTGTAAAGAGGTTACCTAATGGAAAAGTATGTAGAAGTAGACCACCTGTTTACTACTTTCTTTGTGGCTTACAAACTGGAGCACTGTAGGATAACTACTGTTATAATCCACAAAGCAATCAGAAACACAGTGTTATGGATCAAGTGAATAAGTCATGATAATGCTTTTTGTAGACTGAAGAGAAAAAATAGTTTGATGTTACCAGAAACAAATACTACTTATTTTAAAGAGCTATGTTCCTGTGAAAATTATTTTCTCTAAGGTGCTTGAAATCAATGTAAGAAGTCATTGCTTGTCTGAAATACAGTTTATAGTCTGAGCCAAGGATCTTGATGCTAGAACTGAATGAATGCTTTGGATAACATTTCAGCTTCAAGCATCTTACATTGCTACATGGAATTTATTACCAGTTGATCAAAGATTCCCCTTTTTTTTGGGGGTGGTGGTGGTGGTGGTGGTGTGTGACTTGAAAACACATTTATGTGAAAGTGCTCATAAAATTTTTGGAGCCAACTACAAAAGCAAAGTAACTGCTGACCATTGTTTTAAGGAAGTTTTATCACGAATAGCAAGTGTGATTTGTTCATTGTTTTCTTAAACTTTAAATCTTCTGTTTTATGACTAACTCTCCCCAAACTGTTGAATTAGAAGTGTCAAGCAGTAGTTATGTTATAATTATCATTCAGCTTTATATCTGTTACTGTCAAATGGGTCTTTTTGCCTTCCCTGCTACTTCCCTTTTGCCGACAGTGATCTTTAAGGTGGCGTATTTATTACACTATAGGCAGTTAATGCAGATGTAGCTTTCTTAGTGCTGGATTTTTAGATAAAAATAAGCAGAACCAGATTTCAAATGACACTTGCCAAGTCCAAAAGAATAATTTGAATATTTTGTTTATAAAATGAATGATTAGCCTTTTCTGTGATTTTCTTCTAGAAGGATAAAGGCTATAGCCATCTAAAATGTCTCTGATAAGAAAACATCTTAATTTTTCAGAATGCAACATCTTTAGGAAAGAAACTTGCTAGGTGATTTACTCAGTTCATGTTATGTATGTACAAATCCCACTGCCTGAGTAATAATGGTGGCAGTGAGAAATGAGGAGAAGATGGAACTGATTCTTTTGGTATCAGCATGGATCTGTGGTGACTTAAAGTGAATATGCAGCCTAAGTCACTTTACATCAACAGGGGTATAATTTTCCCTTTGTCCCTCTTGCTTTAGTGTAGTCTACTTTACAAAAGTTCACATCATGTAATGTGATACAGACAGAAAAATAAGCTTTGTTTTTATTAGAAAGTTGCCAGGCAGGCGAAATGCTGTTTTGAGATCTCTGGCTTAGTGTCTGTACTCTTATACATGGATGACGCAGAACAGTCATTAACCTATATGCAGAAATTGTGTCCTGCCTGATCTACAGGCATCCAGCTGTGTGTACTCTTCAGCCAAAAGTCAGTGGGTCTGCAGCCAGGGTAGTTTATCTGAATTTCATTAGCATGAACATGAACTGCAATGCATGATTTGGGCTTAAATGAACCAAAATTTATCTGTGACTGAGATTCACTGAATTAGTTACTTTAGATGGATTTGGGGTTTTTTAAAACCCAAAGTGTTAAAAAGGGAGTCAATCAGTACTGCAGTGTTTAAACTACATCCCAAAATATCATGAGTTTTGTCATCAGTGTGTACTAGATAGAAGATATATCTATCACAGTAAATGTTAGATTGAAAGTCATTCATGACAGGTTGATGGCGATCTACCTGGGATTGTAAATTCTATTTTATTTAAAAAAATTTTTTTTGTTAGTAAATTGGAGAAAATCTGCAAAGATAGCGCTGGGAAGGAATGCTGCTCATACTGATATTTGGGTATTCACTGCAACATTTTGAACCCTAGTTATTACCTACCAATTAAATATATGCTCAGAACATACCCAGACCTTGTATTGTTGCACATGGTATTTTCAAACAACTCTATTTGTTATAAACTAAAACTTGAGTTTTAAATTTTTCATATCCAGATCATGGCTGAATTAGGCAGGACTCTGAATGAAATTGGAGCACAAACAGGACTGCTTGTTGTGCAAAGTATTTCTGACGTTTTTTTGCAAGCAAAATTTAAACAAGTAGGAGGGTGTCTTGATTAAAGAAAGTGATTAGATATTTCTGGGTTCATTTTAACTCTTCTTCAAAGTTGTTTACATATTAGCTATGGAAGAAACTTGTTTACAAATTAAGCCTACTACTTGTAGTCTGAGGTCTGGTCTGTAATTTATGCATTATGGCCCCATGGGAATTTTTGTGAAGTTTATAGATCAGAAAAACATCTTCATATAAACACAGTAAAAAGTGCCTTTGCTTATATATCTAATCTTACTTGAGGTGCTGGTGTAAGTTATACCAATAAAATACATGATCTTGCTTTAAAGATTCATTAAAGGTGCATCTTGATAGAATGAGATTTTTTTCAATGGGCTTCAAGAGTTAATCTAATAGAAGGAGATCATTTCTTTTCCAGATGCCTAGATATAATGCTCACAGAACTCACAAGATGTCTTCCATTTGTCCTCTTCCATATCATTCAAGCAAAAGTAACATGATTGCAGCAAGAGCCATGTGATTATGGAATAGATCCTCATCTCCCAACAAATTTCTCAGAAAAATGTTTATGAACTTAATATTATGAATATTAAGGTATTATATAAATACCTTAATTATGTTATTTGAAGCTTCACCACCACAACAATAAGAAGAGGCTAAGCACATTAGATATAAGCCAGATGCACATCTTTTGCACTGCTGATACTGAATTTCACAGGTGTGTCTCCTAAATTTTTAACAGCGTTTTTGTAGAGGAAGAAAGGACACAGAATTTCACCATGAAAAGCTGCCTATATGATCTCTTGCTCTGTGGGAGCAAAGTTAACACTTCCCTAAGGGGGTAGCCATCATGTTCATAAAAGTTCATGATCATGTGCTTGATTACTGCTGAATCTGGACACATCAACAACAGCTTTATACATTATTTTTTTCCAGCAGTATTTGCTAAAACCATGTAAAGCTCTGTATAGTGGGAACTTAAGGTGCTTTGCTACCGTACAAATGCTGTTGTTAAGTAATTCTTAAAATTTTTTAAAATTATATTTAAATTCTATTTAAACAGAAAATTATATATAGAACAGTACATTCAATATACAATATGACACTGATTATACACAATCAGAAGTTACTGTCTGTTAAGTGCAGTGGGTTTACTGCACTTACAGGAACCCCAAATTAAGAAATCAGAAAATTAATTGCTTCATATAATGTTAGTATGATATTACTTTAATGTTTATTCAGGAAGTTTATTCATCTTCTTTCTCAAGAAGAGATTACATAATTTTTTCTGGGCTTTGAAAAACAATAGGATTGATTGTCTTAGGATAATTCCAAGGTATTGCCAACCTAATACTAGTATTTCCATTTACAGACTTCATAATGTAATACTATGCTGTAACCTGCAGTACATTCCAGCAAGAAGAGAATGCATTATGCAATGTGACCAAAATACTAAGCGATTTGGAGTTTTGTGATGTTTCCTTACATGAGTTATTTAAACAGAAACATGAAATGACTTTTAAAGTAATTTTACTTACGTTATTTCATGGACTGTTGATTTTTTCCTGTTGTGCTTTCCTGTATCCATTAATTTCCTGTTGGTGTTAAATAAATGCTATCCAGTAGATATGCTGTTGCTAATATGATGCAAATGATTAAATGAGTGTGTTTGGTTGTTTCAGTTAAAGGACATTTGTGAACATTCAAACTACATTTTCTTCTTTCTTATTTATCACTACAAAATAAATCAGAGTGTATTCATTGCTACTTTTATGTAATTACTGTAAGCAGTCTGGCTGATGGCAGTATAAAATGTAGTTCTTCATTAGTCATTTAAATGCATGATTTTCTCATGGCATATCTCATTCTTGTGGTGTTTCTTGCGAAACAAATATGATAACTGTGTGTGGGTTCAGAATTCAGATTAAGCCCTGATTCTGTCCTTTTTGTTTTTTTT